GAATGACTTTCTCTTCTCTGTCAACTCGAATTTCACAGAAGTGTAAGGATCATTTCTAGCCAGCTGATGTATTCAAAAGGATGCTAATTGCTATGCAGAGCCAGGATCATCCAGTTAGGCAGTGCAAGGTCCCTGTTCTGTCTCTTCTGGACATTATTCATGAAAGAGTAATAAAAGTATCACAAGACATTTTTCTAACATCTCCAAGGAGAGATGTGACTGTCACTCATCGATGACTTATCTACAACCTTAAATCACTGTATTCTCATTCTTACTCCCCTGTTCTCAAAGACACCAGCACATATCTTAGTATTCTAGATTTCCAGATAAAAGTCATTGTCCTTTATACAGAACCAAGTAAGTAGTAGCAAAGAGAGAGAACTATATAAGCAGCAATAAACACAGATGCACTTGCAAGACAAGGTATGTAAAATAACTGCTTCATTACAACATTAGCAGCCGTAACAATCTTCATTCCCCTCACATAAAGCTCTTCTTGATTCACTTGGGTAGCCTTAAACTATCAGCTAGGACTATCACCCTGCCTGGCTCAGCCTGCCCTCCAAGGTACATGGGGCAGCAATCACCTTTTAGTTTGTGCTTGTCCAACACCCATCCCAAAGAATTCTTAACTGACATGATTCTAAATAGCATTATAATAATAACAACTCTGAAAAGCAATGTACCTGGGCTTTAGAGGCTCATAAGCAGCATCCCAAAATTCCTGATTTACAGAGCTGTGTAAAGCTGGAGGTGTATATAGTACTAAGGGAAAGAAGATCGTGCTGTTTCTGTGATCTAACGATAACAATTACTCTCTCTCATTCATCACATGCACCTTAACAATATGCTAACCCATTAGTCCAACTCAACAGGACACTAGGATGCACAATTAAGTCTGAGATGCAGCAAAGTGTCAGGTGATGATGTCAAACTATGCAATCTGTTTTCAACAGTGGACCCAATAGATGAAATCCCAAATCTACTGGTACCAGTGACAGAAGTGGTTTGATTTCTCTGAGGTCAAGATTTTACTGCAAGTGTACATAGTAATTTAGGTTCCTGGCAAGAATAAACTTTTGCAATAGTTTAGATGGTACTCACCTCACTGCCTACTTTATCAGCACCGAGTTTGGAGGTGGGTCTGTAACCTTCTGCTAAGCTGCCAAATGCTTCTGGACTGCACAGCTGGCCTGTGTCCAAGGACCTGCAGCTCTGTGTGTCTAACTGCCTGCTCCCCTGGGAGGTGCCCTGCTGTGACACCCTGGCCAGGTGCACACTGCCCTCGGCACTCCTGCTGGCCGGGGGGCGGTAGAGCTCGGCGGAGGGACGGGACGAGCCGTAAGTTACAGTCACTATGGGTTTCTTCCGTGACAAAGGATTCTCCTGCACAAAGTTCAGGTCTTCATCAATTAGATCATCTGGTTCAGGTTTAATGTCAATTACAGCTTCAGAAGGTGACAATTCCCTCAAAGGCTTGACTGTAGACGTTAAGCGAGATGCAGAACCATCTTCACAAGACTGCCTGATAAAATAAGGGATTGACAACTATTAGCTAGCTGGAAGAGGAGAACTGTCCCTTAATCAGGACAGCAGGGAAGAATCATTAAGGCATTATTGTTTACACAAATCTAACACACTGATTGCTATTTTTGGTTTGGTTAATCTAAGCCCACCTGCTGCTTGAAGAACTGAATTCTGACTTATTGGGTTTTATACAACAAATTGTAGTAATGCTTTACAAACTTTTAACTCTGCTTTACAAACTGCTTTGATCTTTCCAAGTGTCTATACTCTTCAGGATGGCTCCTAGAGTCACACAACTGATGCCTGAACGTGTGATGGTGAGCACCCAGCAGCCTTACCGTGCCGCAGTGCTCCTCTGCTCCTGTGAGCTGGTTGAAACTCTGGTGTCGTTTCTTTCAGCCCGAGTGCTGGATACTGCAAGGGGTGGCAAGACATCCTCACACCTCCTCTCATCACTCACACAGGAGCTGCTTTTGCTGGAAGGAAGGTTGCTCTCAAAGATACTAGATTCTGAAGACTTTACACTAGTTGGTTCTGTGGAGACACGCACCTTTCATTTTTACATCAATGCACAGCAATACAGATTTTGCAATAGTTGTAGCTAAGAAACTGCAAACAAGACATTGCACAGACCTGAAAATTTAACAAACTGAAAGCTGTCAGCTGAAAACATCAGCAAGAGATACACAGAAATATATTCTGGACTGAAAAATAAATTCTTCATCTCAAAATATAAAGCAATTTTCTAAAAAGTCGGGATCCAAAAGACCATATAAATAAAAAAATTAACAAACCAGGCAAGATTTAAAAAAACCTCCTTAGACATGCAACACTACAGAGAAAAGATAAACTTACGTTCACCCAAAATTAATTTTCTTACTTACCAGTAGTCACAGATCGCAGCTTATCCAAAACACCATGGAGCCTGACGGACAGAGGACAGGGAAGGAAGCAAAAGAAAAAGAAGAAGTAAAGAATTTACATTCAGAATAATCATCTTTCAGAAACCAACTGCCTTTCCTCCACTATAGCAAGCACCTAATTTATCTAAGACTTCACTTTCCATCGGCTGAGTGAGGTATGTTTCACCTCAAAAGGGAGGCTTGAAGTCTCTTGCCTGCAGTGTCATACACATGCAGGTAGGGTATTCACCACATCATCTACCTTTGGGATTTACTTGGTTTACATAATCCAAGCCAGTACTTTCCACCTTTCCCTAAAATCAATGGAGTTGAGTGTCAAAAGGAGTGATTTCAAAACCCTAACTTAGAAGCCTAAAGTATAGCCTGAAGTTTTATTTTGTATATGAAATTTTAACTACACAGCAGAGTGAAACATAATTTTAAGTACAAACCCAAACATACACTTAACATTCTCAGGATTCTTCCAGCATGCTTTGTATATACCAACAATATTCTTTGAGACATGCTGGTGAGCAAAAACATTTCAGTGAGGTACCAAATTTGCCCTTTGCCTGTGACAAAGGTACCAAGCTGAAGGAATATAGAAACATCAAAAGGCTATAAAATAATAAGGCTGCTAAAAATAAACACACAATACAGTGAGAACAAAGAAAAAAAAAATTCCAACACTTAAATGCATATTTTACTTGGAATTCAAACCTGATCATGGACATGTCCATAATTTAGCCTGAGTATCAGAGGAGCTAAGGAACCAAAACATTGAAAACTGGGAAAAGCAAGACTGCATGGGAATATAATGAGGGCTTGTCCTCCATGTGAGTTTTCACTAGAACACTGATCAGCTGAGCTCTGGTGATGTATATCAGTTTTCACACTGACCTCAGGATTACTGTGACCTGACACTTGGTTCAGAGTAAGAAATGTTGGCCAACCAGCAGGACTGCCAGGTCTGTCACAGAATTGCTGTGAAACTTTTGCCAGGTGACCCCAAATTACCAGCTGCAGCGACACACTGAGGAAGGCAGACCTTGCTGAGTACCGTATTTAGCCAATGCTTAAGAATGCTTAAGAATTCTGGGTTGCCTTTAGAAGAGATAGAAGCATATAAAACTCCTAACTACAATGCTATTTAACACTTTTCCACCAATCTCTTTACAACCTACTGCATAGCTTTCTTCTCTTCTTCTCCACCCTTCTTTTAACCAATAGCTACTTTGTTCCTGATACAGCACTCTGAATTTGTATTTATATATATAATGTGGATATGGGTATCAAACCAGTCATTATGTTTGGAATTTTAGCAGGTATCAAAACCAGCTGGAGATATAATATCTACATGCAGTCAATATCCAGTTTTAAATATCATAGAATTTAGAGCCTGGAATGGACCTTACAGATCATCTAGTCATAACCCCCTGCCCTGGGCAGGGACACCTCCTCACTAGATCAGATTGCTCAAGGCTTCATCCAGTCTGGCTTTGAACAATGCCAGGGTTGGGGCAGCCACCACGTCCCTGGGCAACCCGTGCCAGTGTCTCACCACCCTTACAATAAGAAACTTTTTTCTAATATCTAACCTAAACCTCCACTCCTTCAATTTGAATCCATTACCCCTTGTCCTACCATTGCAGTTCCTAAGAAAGAGTCCCTCTCTGGCTCCTTGTAGCCCCTTCAGATATTGAAAAGTTGCTATGAGGTCTCCACACAGTCTCCTCTTCTTCCAGTCTGAACAGTCCCAACTTCCTCAGCCTGTCTTCACAGGCGAGATGCTCCAGTCCTCTTATCGACTTTGTGGCCTCCTCTGGACTTGCTCCAACAGTTCCATGTCCTTCTTATGTTGAGGGCACCAGGACTGCACACAGTATTCCAGGTGGGGTCCCATGAGAACAGAGCAAGAGGGGAAGAATCATCTCCCTTGACCTGCTGCCCACACTCCTTTTGATGCAGCCCAGGATTCCACTGGCTTTCTGGGCTGAGCTCACACTGCAGCTCATGATGAGCTTCTCACCCACTGTCACTGCCAAGTCTTTCTCCTCACTGCTGGTTTCAATTACTTCCCCACCCAAACTGTAGGTGTGCCTGGGATTGCCACGGCCCAAGATGCAGGACCTATATATAAGTATATAAAAGATAATCTTCTCTGCTGAAATTTGCTTTCTCTACAGATTTATTATTTTTTCAATAAAGTTTTAGCTGCATTTACAAAGCTATAGAAGTGTTTTCTCCTACATATTTTTCTGTTATTTCTTACTGTATATTCAGTGAAAACCCTAATACAGGAGTTACCCTCATCCAGTTGCAAACCTCACTGATATGTCTGATTCTCAAAAGCACTATGAGAAAGACAACTGCATGACTTCCTGATACAGTGAAACCCAAAGGTTTTGCCTAGGCAGGCCACAAAAAGAGCATAAATGACTGTGTAGTTTTAAAGCAGGGTGCATGCTTGATTGTACTCCTTTATCATAGTTTTGAGAAATGCCAGGATAAAACTGAAAATAGTGTAAGCAAACTCAAATTAGATCTACACCAGTAACACTATCACAAGGAAATCCATCAGTTTAAATAGTTGATACAGTGAATTGTAACAGCTAGAACTGACTTTCATTTTTTGTCAACACTTACGGCTTCATAACATACCCAACTCCTAAAATGTTTCTTTCTGCTCTTTAACAACATAAAAGCTCCTAGTGAATGTAACCAGTCAGTATGAAAACTTCAAAGGAAGCAAACTGAAAAAGGAGAAAAAAATGTAGTATTTCTCTTATCTATAAAAACAAAATCATGTTCCTTAAAGCTATATCAGGTAGGAGACTCAGAAATGAGATTAACATGAATAAATACAGAACTCTGAAAGCAAGAAAAATCTCAAGAGTCAAATGTCTGTTTGGATACTCTGAAACATGGAGTTAATCAAAGGTTTATACTGTAAACCAAATTCAGTACTAGAAAATGCATGAGAAATATAATGGCTAAAGTTATCATGCAGCATAGAATAAACTAATCCACACTGTCAGGAGTTGAGAAAAGAGCTGAACTGTTGCTAACTTGGCCTGCTCACAATAATGCTGAGGTTCTACTTTTGGTTGAAGAGTTGGGTGGTGGTAATAAATAAATAGCCTGAGAGGTGGGAATACCTAAGCACTTGGTGCTAAGCCTTGTCAAAGACAGTATACAGAATTAGATCCACTGCTCATCTGTCCTGATATAGTAATTCCCATGCACAACAGCAATCTGAAGGACTACTGGCATAAAAGCAAACAAGCTTGTCTTTCACATCTAGCCACAGTGAACAGCACTCTCATGCTCACAGTGGCCTTTGCAGGAGTAAATTTTTTTAAGTCAGCACACAGCCCTCACTTACCTGAGCACTTCATTCAAAAATCTGACTAGTTTATCAGCAAACAAAGAATATCAGTCCTCCAGTCCTCTGCCACTTAATTATCACCTCAATAACCTAACTGCAGACAGATTAAAACTAGTTTACTTATTAGACCTTCAAAGTAAAAGCTTTGATTAATGCAAATTACGTAACAGGAAGTAAGTCACTTTTTGAATTGTCAGGTTTCACTTGCAGAAAGCAATCCTGACTACTGGTAAGAAGTGTGACAAGTAGTTTGCAAACATACCAGACAGTAAACCTGACAGTATTGTTTCCAAGGAAAAGGGAAAGGTCTTCTGTCATCTGCTCCTGACTCTTCTTATTGGCCACCATAACCATAATATAATCAGGGAGCTCTTCATCTAATAGAAAGAGAAATATGTTGGTTTAAAGTATAATAAATCACAGAAGACATAACAAGTATCTTTAAACATGTAAACAGAATTTTTTTTCCAGTTTTACTACAAAGACTCTGCAGGTAGAGGATTAGGAAAGCAAATCAACAAGACTTCCATTTCCTCTGAAGTTCAATACAAGTTTCAGCCATGAGTGAGGAATAGAAGATCATCAACTTCACAAGAGCATAAGCTGAAGATCAAAGTATTTAAGAAGTGAGCAAAAAGGACAAGATAAAAGAAAGTCACTCTGCTGACTATATCCTTTTACTTAAATACTAACAAACATCTACAGTTTTCATCATTTCAAATATTGCCAAATATAGCACCTTATCCTTGTCAAATTTCCTTAAGTTAAAGACCAAACAAATAAAATATCCATTTCTGATTTGTGCATTAAACAAATCAAAACTGTATTAACTTCCAGATTTTCCACCTACAAAAAAAAAAAAAACACAACACCAAAACCCAGCAAACTTGAGAGTCAATCTCCAACCCTCTAACAGATGTGTGCAATTGCATATGCAGTGAGAAACACATTCCCTGCTGGACTGCTTATGCCATCATAATGGACAGGAAGGTGCCTAGAATATGATACTAGTACATTAAGTTTTGGGGAGTTAGGTATTTGGCTTTTTCCTTTGGGCTAGCTCTGGTCTGTGCTGAAGGACTCACAGGCATGTTTGCTGCTGAAAGGCATTAGGTATATGCTGCTTGAGAAGGTACTTCAATTCACTTTAATCAGTCATCTCATGCTTTCCAGAACCACTCCAAGACATGAACATAACAGTAAGTGAAGACAGTTGGGAAATACACTTCAAATTGTGAATCTGAACCAAGGCACTAGTACAGCTCTACTCATTTCATCAAGTTAAGACACTATACAGCACCAAACCAACCTAAGAAAAAAAGAAAAAAAGAAATCCAAATCCAAATCAAAGGAATTGCCTTTCTTCTATGCCTATGCACACTGTAAATAACTCATCTCTACCCTAGACTACAGAAATAACATTCATACATTGCCTCTGCACAAAACTGTCACTATTTAAGTGTCCCAACATAACACATTCCTAGCTTAAACCCTAACTTCTTTTTGGTGGTTTGGGGGGGTTTGTTGTTGTTGCTGCTGCTGCTTTGGGTTTGATTGGGTTTTTTAATGTAAACTACAAGTTGCACAAGATGGATTGATACTCAGACCTAGGAACTCTGAATGAATTTTATTCATCTGGCAAGCTACTTTTAAACCTGACAAGCTCTTCAGGTGGTTTAACATATGATAAAGACATTTTAAGTATCCATCAAAACATAAGTTACGACAATTACCTGTAACAGTGTGGCAGAAGAAGGAGAGAAAGAAAAGAACTGCTTCTCTCAGTGATTGTGTTGGCCTATGCCGACCTCAAACTGCATGTAAAACTACAGCCTTTGGAAAAAATTCATAAGTAATGAATATCTAACTACTTTGCTTCAAATATATGAATTTTTCCTTTGTAAGTTCTACACAACAATTAAATTTCAACATGTTTTCTGCTAGAAGACTTTTCAAAAGAAAAGAACCAGGAGCTACAGAAAGAAACAAAATCATGGTTCTTGTGCAGAGGTTAGAAGGAAGAAGGATCAATTTTTACCAGTTACCTAAAGAAGAAATGTAGTTTTTGAGAAACATTACTTGAAAGGTTGTCCAAAATACTCTAGTCAAGAAAAGAAACCTGAAGAATGACAGAAATTTGGAAACAGTGGTTTAAGAAACAAGAAAGAGGCCAAGGCAAGTCAGACTTGGCAATAAAGAATAGAGAGCTATTTAAAGAGGTTCAGAAGCTGACTGGGAAGAAACTGCAGACATTTCTTTGCTGATCCTGGGAACTGGTCTCTGAATACAGGAAACAGAAGGAAAACAGAGAATAATCAGTCATAGCTGGAATCAAAGACTGCTAGTATTCTACCAGCATCTTAGTATTAGAGATAAGACAGGGTTGTTTTTTTTCAGAAATGCAGGAAAAAGCAGACAGAGAATCAAGGACTGAGAAACTGAAACCCGGAATGATGGTAAAAAAAAACGAACCAAAAATGAATTACTCAAAAAAAGTTTTGAGATGGTGAAAAAAATGACCTTACAATGAAAAAATGCTAAAGATGGCTCCTTGGCACCAGCTGAGCTCAGAACATCAGCTCATAGGTACCTCCCTCCTGTAGAACCAAAACATTTCTCTATAAATACAATGCCCCTCTTGAAATTGGGAAGAAGATGAATTCAGGATCAAGCTACAAACTTTGAACTTGGCCCTGCAACTCACAGGATCTGTAAACTACGCTCTCAACTCCTCTCCTTCACCTGAAATCCAAGAAGTACCACGGACAACAAAAGTGCAGTTGCAGAACTGAGGTATTCTGTTTCCAACAGAACACTGTGTTAAGTTACCAACTTTTACTGCTGTAGAAAACAGCTGCTCTGAAGCGCAATATCCACTTAATCCTGGATTCAGGAAAAAAAAACCAAGAAACCCACAGACATTCACACTGCTCATTTGTCCTCACAAACCAAAATTAAATCTCTTCCTGCCTCTAAGATTCAGGTGTGTCTATTTCATCAACATTAGCTCAACACAGCTCTTTGTCTTCTCCTCAACAGTCAAGTTCTTATTTTGAAGATTTGTCCCACATAATGTTTCTGGCATGGCCTTTTTATCTCCTAAAACAGTCAGCCTATCTCTGTCCTTTCTCCTAATTGTGACAAACATCTCACCCTGAAGTCAAGAGGCTGTTGAAAAGATGCCTAAGTACAACTGACTCCATCACAGAGCGGTCACAGCTAACTGCTGCTGTGTTTGCAAGGCTCTTGCTTTGTGTAATGTTTCTCCTAGTGCATCAAAGAAATCTCCTTAAATATTTGCAGCATTATAGTTTCTTTTTGTTTCAAATCCCTTGCCACCATTTCTCTTTTAAAGGGAAGACTGTTAGACTGACTTCTTGGTTATTTTCTTTCAGTTCTTCATGTACTGATGTCCAGGTATTGCTTCCCCTTACACTGTAGACTATACACATTTTGTGAAGTATCTATCTTTTTTTCACACTAGTCCAGCACATCAGATAATACTTTTCATGCTTAAGGCTTCTGTATGCAGAAACACAAGTAGCAAGCAGTAAATATGCTGTCCCATTAATTAGCTGTTTGTTTTCCTCACTAACAACAACGACCTAGAGAAGATTGCTAAACACATGACAAAACTTACCAACATAAGCCCCCAGCTCCTGCAACTTTCCTTTTATAGCACCCTAAAAAATAATGAAATAGCATTTAAGGGACGGATCAACAAAGTATTTCTAACTGAAAGGCGGTGGGAGGCTTAGCAAAGGTTTTTCTCATTAACTGGACCAGAGTGTTGGTTTAATATGTTAACTTCTATCCCTCGCTGCTCGCGACAGAAGGGTTGTAAGAGCGAGGGGCTGACAGCAGAATCATGAGAACTGCCAAGGATCTCTCACCCTACCACGCTCCTGGTGCTACCAGCCAACCGCCAAGTCCCAGCTGTCCTTTTCCAAGCAGAGACCACCCGCACTCATGCGGTGCCTAAGAAAGCGAATCCCGAGGGGCACGGTAAGAGCTCACTCCCGGCTCGGCAAGCGAACGGAAAGCTGCCGGGACTGCCCGAGGGCGCTGCCCCGGCGCG